TTAGTAGGAACTATAGATTCAGGCAGCTATTTTTGTAGAGTAAAATTTCGGAATATTGAGCTTAGATTTTAAATTTGATAAACTATCTTGGCGCACAACTTTGACAAAGACAGCTATTGATTATCTGATCATATTCGCAAGATTTGGTTATTTAATTGGATTGAATGCTTTCAAATCATGGAACGCTTTCCTACCAAGTTTCCAAGCCAGAATGATTAAAATTTGTTTTGTAACGAACATCGACGTCACATACAGTAACACTATTTCCGTGAACGAGTAAGCCATCTCAAGTTGATGTGTTTATGGTGGAATCCATTAGGCTTAATATTTTGAGATGCTTTTCAGGATAAAAATGCCATTTACTCTGCTACCACTTCCGAACCCATTTAGCCTCCAGCATCGACCATAATCCTTAGTGCTTCCTTCGAACATCCGAGATTTGATTTTTTTTACGCTCGTCACACATCCCAACAACAATCGATTTTTCTACCCTCGCTGCTGTTTCGTTTACCATACCCTTCTTCACAGGACAGGATATCCTGTTATTCAAATGCATTGAAGAGATCAACAACAAAGACCACATAACGAAAGCCATCGGATATCATGTCTTGCGAATCTGGATCCGAAATAACACCCAGCACGCACCTTTCAACCTTTAACATCCTTCTGGTCATTCACCGAACGGATTCGTCCCCGTTTTCCCCGTCTTAACATCTACAGGAGAATCCTCTCTGTTTATGTATTCTGCTTGCGTTCGCTTGGTGCAGGATTGAGGTTTTTTTTCCACAGTTTGTTCCCATTGTCGGAGGAAGTTTTAGAAGTTTTGCGATCCGTGCGATAAAATCATTCTCTTGTTAGAACGAGTGATTGTAAATCAAACCGCAAATTTCTGTTTCGATTGAATTTGTTGCGAGCTCAAATTTTCAGCTTTTTCGATTCATGGAATTTGCAAAAATTGGCGAATAGGCGTTTTCACGAATGGGCGAACTTCAACATTTTCCCGGAACGACTGTGCTTTAATGCCTATTCAGTTTTCGTTCGTTTTTTTCTTTTGCAGTGAAGGATGAATGGTGGCAAAACGAGCATGCTTGTAACGGCAGTGAACGAAAAGGGTATTTGCAGGAGTACATACTCCTACATCTGATGCCTTTCTCACTGGAAACTCCTACATCAGCAGAGGTGTAGCCAACTTTTTTGTTTTTTTTTTTTTTTTTTTTTATAGGGTATCCTATTTAGAGGAGAAATTGGAGGTGTAGTGACGTCTGCGTAAAATGAAACATGATGCCTCATGATGAAATTATTTTATCTCGGGTGCTCTGAACGTTAAGCATGATACGATAATCTTGCTTTACAGTAACTTCCCCTCATGGTAATCTTGCTCATCATCAAATTGAATGTTTTAAAAATCGCCCAGAATAAATCACTGATATTTTCACTATTCTAGAAATCCCTCCCCTTGGCTAGTTTTTTAACCTGGACGTTGGTGGGCGGGCCTAATCTTATGCTTCATAGTGGAGCGTTGGAGACGGTTGGTTTAGGTCCGGCATCGTTGGCTCATGCCGTGACAGAATAGCGTCATGAGCATGCGATGAGGATTACTGAGCTTCCCCTCTCTGATGAACCATTGCATAAGAGAACCAAAGTTCTAGCCTGAAGTGATAGTATCACACTTGTTACTCCTTTATTTGAAAGCCGCGTTGTAGTACGCTTACATATAGGCACTGACGTTGGGTGCGATACTGGCGGGTTTTGCCGCAAATCACTCTTATTTTATTTATTTTTACGCAGATAGATTTATTTGGGTTTGCAAGGGAATTATACTATTGAAATATTTCAGAAAGTGCCCAACAGTGCTCCTTCTACTTGCGTGACAAGCTTTCGTTGTTGTTTTCATTGAGGTATTACTCAGGGAACAATGTTAAACACCATTTTTATGCATGGTATTGCAACTAATCTTAGACGTGCTTCATTTTGATTTGGGATAAGTGTTTGAACTATGGCTCGGGATTTCCACTGTGGCGTGCTTCTATTGTGACATAACCATACGTATTTTTGAGGTGCGACATAGTGGAAACGTGTGAGTGTAGTTGAAGCATATACCCTATGTAATTTAAAAATCAGCTAGGAAACTAACTTCAAAGTGAAGCATTTTAGTCACTTGAAGGTGTCACCTGGGACGAACTAATATATATTAAATATAGGTCAAAGCCAAAAACAACTTGAAACACGTTAAATTTAAGATAAAATTCACAAGTGCAGGTACTTAATAAAACATGGTAGGTAGATTAGAGATTTCAATTATTTATTAAATTAGACTAGAGATATCATAATCATCAAACGAACTTAAATAAGAAAATTTAGACAGCCTAGTAGCATTAAGTGGATTAACAGAAGAGTTAGGATGCGGAGGGTCCGCTTAGGGAGGCAACTAGCCTTTAAAGCAACTGGCAACTAGCCTTTTCATGTATTGTCTGTTTATTTTGATTATTGCTTTAAAATATCAATTTGGTATATATGTGAAAGGATGTATCAGTGGGAGATGGATTTTCGGTTTCTTTACATTTAGCATCACTATGTGTCATTTCCTCAAAACCCCCCAATAACCGACCTCTTCAATCCCTTCCTTTTCCCATGGCGTTCAAGTGGTCCGCATAGACTATTCAGCCATTACACTTCCTTTATCCTCGGCTTTGGATTGACTTGCGCTCCCATTGCCCCACCAAACGCTGCAAAATGAAAATGAAAATGATATTTTCACTATTCTAGAAATACTGAAATGTTTTCCAGATTTGATGACACCGAACAGGAGGAAGGAAAATTGTATTTGTCTGAAATATATTTCTATCTGAATGGCTACAAAAGACGCTTGATGTAAATGCCTATATTTTAAGCCGTCTTTTTCCCCAAAAAAGGAAACCCTTTCGTAAGAAGATGCCAACAAACATCATCGGTTCATAAAAAAAATATTGATCATTTCTCATTCACAGCGCTCAGACTGGAAAGATCGTATGTATCATACCATTAGGCTTTTCTATACTCCCGTGCTGCTATCTCCTGTTTCCCCTCGCAGTCCCTCTCCAACAGATTGCAATTTCCATAATCGATTCTTCGATTTTATGCTAATATCTTACAACATTTTTGCTACACCCTCCGCTCTCTTCGCTTCTCGTCACGTCTTGAGCCGAGGGCGTAGTTAGAAATTGCAATGTAAGCTTACATGGAGGAACGAATGGTCTACGGGATAGTTTGCTCTATTCCTTAATGTGCAGGATCGAAGCATTATTGGTTCAGGTTACAGCTGGATAGGAGAAGAGACATCGATAAGATTAGTTTGAGCATTGTATTTCAACAACCATTGTTCAGGTTGCATCATTGGGAATTCAAATTTGTAGATTCGGAATGAAGCCAATTGAACTCAGAGGCATAGAGTGCTATCGCAATGAGATTACTCTGAACAAATTGATATTCATTCCTCCGTAGTGCAACATAATTGATAAGCAAACAATAAATCCAACGGATTAGTATCGGCTGATATTTGTGATTCCAGTAAATCTATTTCCCCCGAGAGGATACCATATTATTCCAGGAAGGACCATTGTTCCGGTTCACGTAAATAGCTTAAAACAAAAGCCGGTATTTACGGAGCAGAGCCACTGAAATATTGACTTCAACTGAATCTCGTTGACGCGACCAGCTTCTATTGTGCCTCCATTTTTCCCCTGGAACCAGTTCGAATCGTACGTATGATTTGCCATTTTTAGGGAAGGAACCACTTTTGCAGCAACATGTGTAAGATCGATTTGCCAAAACGACAAACAGAGGTTTATTGAAATTGGATGAGGGGGGAAAGGAAATGCGTTGACTTGTTTTCGTTAATGTCGAAATCCGTTTTGTTTTCTAAGAAAATAGAAAACAATAATCCCGTAGCTGGTGGACTTAAACAATTTAGAAGGCTTGGTTTGTGGAAAAGGTAGGTATGTCCCATTTTTTTTTTTCCTTGATTTGTTTTCCGTCGATTTTGTTTTCCGTGCTGAGCACCAATGCTACCGACGCCAGGAAGGCAGCTCCCACACCTGGACCCTACCTATCGACCCATCAACTCATGAACCGGGGACCAACGGCTTTACTTCCCTTCCGAAGGAAGGCGTGATCAGAGATGTTATGCCTCAGAACATCCCGGCGGCGCCGACTGGGATTGAACCCAGGCCTGCTGGGGTGAGAGGTAATCACGCTTACCACTACACCACCGGCGCCGCTTATGTCCCATTTTTATTTTATTTTATTTTATAATTGATAGCCCATTCTTATTATTTAACGAACCATTGAATTACCTAGAACCTTAAGTTGAGAGCACGCAATAAGCTAATATGCGATAAGAAATAAGCTTGAAATGCATAAAAGAAGAAGAAGAAGAAGAAGAAGAAGAAGAAGTCGTATTATAGAGTTATTAATGTAGTAAAGCAAACAAACAATCACATTACATACTTTGGTAAATCATGCAACATTTTCATCTAACATAAATTCAAGATGCAAAGGTGTTCTCGATCGCTAGTAGAAACACCTGCCATTTTAATTAAGGGCATTTTAATCATTTCCTTCCTCGGTGACCGTTAGGACGTGGCCGGTACCGCTGTCAATTTTGAAAATACAGTTTCATCGAAATTTCTACACTGATAATGGATTGCCATTCTCAAGTACCATTAATTAGGATCTTGCTCGGATACGGATTTGCAGTCCAGTGATTAAAACAAATAAAATTTATCTAAATCATACTCACACTTTTGGGGTTTGTTATAGTTTTCAAAGTCTAATGCCTGGTTGTTTGCTGGTAGATATTTGTGCTTATCCTGGATATAATTATTTTGTAAGGTATATTCTAGATACGTTCTGAATTTTTCAAACAAAGCTATCAAGATGTTATAAAGGGTGTCCCCCATAAAATTGCATCACGGAAAAAACGCTGGAGAAAAGTATCTAGTTGACCGATCCTTTTCAAACTTTCAGATAATATAATATGTCCCATTAGTAAACTTTTGGTTCTGTACAACATCTGTCTGAAGCTTCTTCCGTACGGAAACCCACTTTTTCTTCATGTCTTCCTCAGATTTGACCTCCTTGGGATGCTTCCGTAGTGCCTGTTTCATAATAGCCCAGTATTTTTCGATGGGCCTTAGTTTCGGTGCGTTGGGGCGGTTCATGTCCTTGGGTGCGAAAGTGACCCCGTTGGCTTCGTACCGCTCCAGGACAACATTTGAATAGTGGTACGAAGCTAGATCCGGCCAGAAGATCGTAGGGCCCTCGTGTAGCTTCAACAGAGGAAGCAGTCGCTTCTGTAGGTACTCCTGGTAGATCTCCCCGTTTACAGTCCCGGTAGTGACGAACGGTGCACTCCGTTTGCCACATGAGCAGGTCGCTTGCCAAATCATGTATTTCTTGGCCAACTTTGAAAGTGTCTGCTTCCTTACTTCCTTCGGAACATCAAACTTGTGCTGGGCGGCGAAGGACAGTAGCCCGGAAGCTGCCAGAAGTCCGCCTTGACGTAAGTCTCATCATCCATGATGAGACAATGAGATTTCGTCAGCATCTGGGTGTACCGTTTCCGGGCCCGTGACTTTCCCACCATATTTTGCCGTTCGTTACGATTTGGAGCCTTCTGCACTTTGTACGTATGCAGTCCCTCCCGGTCCTTTGATCTCTGAACGAAAGACTTGGATATTCCGCATTGGGATTAGGATTCACAAGCATTGGGATTCCGCTTAAACGCTTTCAAGACACACTTGTGATCCTGATCACTAATAGAACATCCATTATGACCACATTTCTCCTTCCGTTCCATGCTCAGAGTTTCGTAGTAACGTTTAATCATACGACTCACCGTTGACTGCACGATTCCGAGTTGTTTTCCGATGTCCCGATGAGGGAGTTGAAGATTTTCCAGCTGCTTGCGCAAAATCAATTCGCGACGTTGCTTTTCGGGTAACGCAATTTTTTTCCAACTTTCGCAAAACTGACAGCTTTAAAAATACAGTGTAAACAATACACTCTAAACTACTTCTACCCAAATTTTCAAGAGAAAATACCCAATGGGTAATATTCTACACCGTTTTTTTTCCGTGATGCAATTTGATGTGGGACACCCTTTAGTACACATCTTACCAATAACATAATAAGATATTGTTGCTAATTGTAATTGTAATTGTTCAGTGTATAGGCTGTGCCAACCGCTAAGTTGGCTAATCTAGGGACTAACCCCCTAGTCTATACACCTACTATCCTTCCCGTTGCACTCGTCAGCTCGTGCGATACTCTAGACACACATGGGTGGTCGTATCCGGGTCCTCCCCTGGGTAGGCTCGTGTCCGTCCAGGTTCTGGTACATTAACTTATATGCATGGTAATTATACTTTACAACTCACCTTTTGATGTCTGAAACTATATGAATGTTAGTGATCATTATTAGGTGTGTGCTGCAATGGAGTAGTAATTGAAGGAATTCTAAAATAGGTAAATCATGCAAGCACACACCTTTTACAATTCTTATCCTACTTACCAGTTCCGTCCAGTATAAATTGGCTGTTTCCAAATGGCCTAATCTTACGTTTTCTCGCTTTTTTTTTCTTCTTCTTCCTTTTGAAAATCTGGCCGTGTTCCCATTTGTTCTCAGGTAGGTAATATTGGTACATGAGGGGAAGAAAGAAATAGAACAAGTTAAGTGTGAGCAGCATGCGTTGGTTAGTCGTTAGGGTAATGGTGTTGTGTTCCCTATTTTATTTGCATCTATTCAGCTCTCAGATCGCCCGCTCCCCCCAAACTATTGTGGATGATAAAAAGAACCCATATTTGGTAACCTTTCGCGAGCTTCAATGCATAAGATATGAATAACAAACAAATCTAGAACGGGCTTAAACAATCAGTTAGGAGCTAGAACAGGAGCACATATGTGATTGGCAGGGTATGTGACGGGAGTTTGAGGGTACTGGATTCTTGTTCACATATATGTGCTCCTTTAATCTTAAAGGAATTTTTTTTTATGAATGAAAGTCTTTAATTCAGTGTATCAATAGAGTGGTGTTGCTTAATTTTGTCGAATTACGTGTTTAAAGCTTCAAAAGATCCTGTTGACAAATGAATTATTCAAAAACAGTATTGCTAACCAAAATAAGATATTGTTGCTAAAATTAGATATTATATTGCTCTGGTTTTGCTTTTCCCCTCTACCTGGGCAGTAACGGGCTACCATAATAGCACTGTAAAGGCCCACTATTTTTCCTTTTTAGCATTATATCAGCCTTTTATTAGCATGTATTGCAAGTAACCAGTGAACCGGGAGATCGTGAAATAAAAAAAAAACGTGAATTTCGATGACAAATCGGGAAAAAATATAGTCAAACACATTTTTGGACCTTTGCAAAATTGTAAGACACTTGGACTGGACTAGATTTTCAGAATGCAGTCACTTTGAATAGTAAATTTTTATTTTTTTCCGACGTAGGACTACGTCTGTGATTTCTATATGAAGGTACACTTTGTCAAAACCAAAATTCTTATATGTTTGTATGTATGTATGTAAGTAGCGACCATCCTAGCTTGGGTCTTGCTCTGCATGCGGCTCCACTCAACAGCAAGATCAAATTCCGTCATCATTCTGAATTCAACATACTGCTGTATGAAGGGCCAAAAAGGGTTGGACGGGCCCATAAGCAGAGGCACTTACGCGAAACCCGCGGGAATAAGAGAAACTCCTTCCTTCTTACATTATCCAACAAAATGAATAACGAAATTCGCAATACATGTTAAACTTTCCACGGGATGGTTTGTTAAAGAAGAGCACGTCAAATTCATTGCAACTGTTGGAGTGAAATGTAACTATCTAAAATGACAGTACACATTCCCTCCTAGACTCCGGTTGGCACTCCACTCCATTGTCCAGTTACAACTTCAATGATGCCCTGATGCTCCCTCCCTTCCCAGTGAGTTTATATATAATCATGTAATATATAATGTATATAAAACATGTAGTAGAATGAAAAATATAATAAAAAATAAAGATGTTTTACAAAATACAAATAACCTAGATTATTGGGTCCTATACACAGACTTTTTGTTTTATGTGCCATGAAATGACATAATCCATAATTGTATGTTTTGAAAATATAATACTGAAGTATTGAATCAATAGACCGAAAATCGAGGTTATTTGGACATGAGGTATTATATTTAAAAGGATACTACCAAACCGACCATCAAACGCACTGCCCACAAAAGCAGACACGTCCCCTCGAAAATACAATCGAGAAATGTACAAGAACAATCCTCAACTGGAACGTACTCACCAAATCAATATATCCGGGAGCGCATTCCCGATGTCGTCGAACGGCAAAAAAAAAGGGAACTCGGTGAGAAAATTTGTGATACGGAATTTTCACTGTAAACAACCGCGAATTTCACCATCCAACTACGAAACACGTTCAGAAGCACTTTTGATACACTTTCGATATCAATTTCTTTCGAAAAAACTTAATTATTTTTTTTATTTTTTGCAAAAATAGTTGCAAGTGAATCAACATCAACACCGATCGTGCCAAGCTCTTTCACGCACCTGTAAATGTTGTCAAAACCGAAAATCTTATATGTAACAAAATTATGAAAGATTTTGAACGTTAATATCTCAGCTGTCCCTGGACCAATTTCAATAATTTTATCACTAATCGATCAGAAATATTTCTACGCACCAATAGCAATGCTTGACGGTTGATTTTTAACTAGAAACTAAAAAAGTTGTAAATGTCAAGCATTGTCCAACAGCAATGAAATAAATAACAAATCCACGTACAATTACGTACATGCATATACTGCTTCCCCAACACAACCATCAGAGAGTCGTAAGTAGACGAAACAAGTCGAAGTGGCATTCGCCTCCGATCTTCGGGCGTGTGCGAATAGGGAGGATGCAATTGCGTAACATTTTGCACACTCATCGCCATATTCAGAACCACACGACCCCAACGACCACACAAAATGCTCTCCAGAGTTGTAATCTTGTAACCAAACTTGGAAGCTGATTTTAATCGATTATCTTCATCGACTTTCTGTTGCGTTAATATCTCGATGGCAAACACATTCATGGATACGTTTTTTTCTTCAGGATGATAGAAGAGCTTCGCAGAAATAGATGCGAAATAGGTTAGTGACTTTCACCCCTCTGCTTCTAAGCCCCTTAATTCATTCGTCGTCATAGCAATGAAAACTAGCATCGCACCGCTTCTGGTTCTTGGGTTACACTTGCTGGTTGCAATTCTGCTGTTCGACATTTTCGAAGGACCACCAAAAACATGAAATTCTACTTTTTTCTAGGGATGCCTAAAAGTCCAATCATTCGATTAACGATTAATCGTTAAGATTTTTCCAGCTATACGATTAAATATTTATCGAAACTTCAATTATTCGAGCGCGTAACCTACATCCTTTCTTATTTCTACTTGATTGATTTAGCGCAGTAGAGAAAATTAATAAAAGTACTAACTTATCTGAACAGGCATAGAAAAGAACCATGAAGTGAAACAGGATCATAAATTCGCCGAAAAAGTGTTAAGCGTCTTTCTCCTAAAGGCTAAGATTAACCAACTTGTTGAGAGAAGGAGTTCAACGAAAAAAAAAACTAAAAATGGAAGGAGCTTTAGCTGGGTGGACACTGATATTCTGCGGCCTTCCAACCTGTCACAGACACCTGTTCAACCCCTGTCCAGCAGCAGACGGGTCGAGACTCTTGCGAGGGCCCAATCATTGAACCGAAGAATATGGGATTGTCCGGTCTGATTTGCTGATCCATCTGAACATGAAAATTCATTTAAACGTTCTTTTCATAGTTGAAGATGCTAATTTCGATTAACTGACTGAAGTGGTAATTTTTATACCATCGATGAGGAGGAGATGAAAGTATAGAATTGATAGTTCCGTTTAGATTACGGCAGTGTGAAAATTGCATATAGAAGAGTAGATAGCGAGCTAGGACAACTTTTAATGAAGGTACAAATCGGTTTTATTGTACGGCGCGAAGAATGCGTAACCGGTCTACTAACAACGAAAGCGAGGAATGCTCGGATCAATGGATTCTTAAATTCGCGCGAAAAGTGTGTCCGGATTCCGTGCCGTCGCAGTTGATTCCTCGCGAAACCGCGAATTCGGTAGACGAAATCAGTCAGCCTTTTTCAATGGTGGAACTTTCACTCGCTCTCCTTTCGTGTGGCAATTCTGCCCCGGGATCTGATAGAATAAAGTTCAACTTGCTGAAAAACCTCCCAGACGTCGCTAAGAGGCGCATGTTGAACTTGTACAATCAGTTCTTGGAGCTCAATATTGTTCCCGACGATTGGAGACGAGTAAGGGTGATAGCCATTAAAAAGCCTGATAAACCCGCGTCGGATCA